CTAAGTTCAGGACAGTTTCATTTAAGATCCTTAACTAATCACATCTAAAAAGACTATTTCCAAATAAGGTCACATTCTGAGGTTCTGGGTGGACATGACTTTTTTTTTTTTTTTTTTTTTTTTGGGACATGGCTTCACTCTGTTGTCTAGGCTGAAGGGCAGTGGCACGATCACGTCTCACTGCAGCCTCAAAGACCTGGACTCAGGCAATCCACCTGCCTCAGCCTCCCAGGTAGCCAAGGCCACAGGTGCATGCCACTACACACAGCTAATTTTTTAATTTTTTGTAGAGACAGTGTCTTACTATGTTACCCAGGCTTATCTCAAACTCCTGGGCTTAAGCAATCCTCCCACCTCAGCCTCCCAAAGTGCTGGAATTACAGACATGAGCCACTGTGCCCGGCCAATATACAATTTTTTTTTTTTTTTTTTTGAGACAGAGTCTCATTCTTACTGCCCAGGCTGGAGTGCAATGGCGCAATCTCTGCCCACCGCAACCTGCACCTCCCGGGTTCAAGCGTTTCTCCTGCCTCAGCCTCCTGAGTAGCTGGGATTACAGGCATGCACTCCCACACCCGGCTAATTTTGTATTTTTAGTAGAGATAGGGTTTCTCCGTGTTGGTCAGGCTGGTCTTGAACTCCCGACCTCGGGTGATCTGCCTGCCTCGTCTCCCAAAGTGCTGGGATTACAGGTGTGAGCCACTGCACCCAGCCAACATACATTTTTGAGGGACATTATTCAACCCACTAAACATGACATATTTTATTGTTTGATTTTTGAATGCTAAGCCAAACTTGTCTTCTTGAGATAAACCCCTATTGCTCATAATGTATTAATCTTTATATATATTGAAGAATGTGATTTGTTAAACTTTTCTTTAAAAAATTCATCTATATTCATTAGAGATTTTAGTCTGTAATTTTCTTTTCTTGTAATATCTTTGGATTATTATTATTATTATTATTATTATTATTATTATTTTGAGATGGATTCTCACTCCATCACCCAGGCTGGAGTGCAGTGGCAGTATCTTGGCTCACTGCAAGCTCTGCCTCCTGGGGTCAAGCGATTCTCCTGTCTCAGCCTCCCAAGTAGCTGGGATTACTGGTGCCCACCACCACATCTGGCCTTGTCTTTGGTTTTGATATTAACATAATAGCAGCCTTATAGAAATAGTTGGGAAATATTCTCTTCACTTCAATTTTATGGATTTGAGTAAAATTGTTATTGTTTCTTCTTTAAATGTTTGGTAGAATTCTCCAGTGAAAGCACCAGGGTCTGTAGCTTTCTTTGTGGGTGAGTTTGTAACTACGAATTTAATTTATTTAATAAACAAAGTGCTATTTAAGTAATCTGTTTCTTCTTGAGTCATTTTTAATGTTTGTGGCTTCCAAGGAATTTACAAATTTTATCTAGGCTTTCAAATTTATAGAAAAGATTTCCCCTTCCTTCCTTCCTTCCTTCCTTTCTCTCTTTCTTTCTTCTCCTTCTTTCCTTCCTTCTTCCTTTCCTTTCCCTTCTTTTTCTTTTCTTTCCTTTTTTTTGATGGAGTCTCGCTCTGTTGCCCAGGCTAGAGTATAGTGGTGCTATCTCGGCTCACTGCAACCTCCCCTGCCTGGGTTCAAGCAATTCTCCTGTCTCAGCCTCCCAAGTAGCTGGGATTACAGGCACACACCACCATGCCTGGATAATTTTTTTATTTTTAGTAGAGACGGGGTTTTGCCATGTTGCCCAGGCTGGTCTTGAACTCCTGGGCTCAGGCAATCCACCCACTTTGACCTCCAAAAGTGCTAGGATTACAGGTGTGAGCCACTGCATCTGGCCTCTGTTGTTCAATGCCACCCAGGCTGGAGTGCAGTGGTGCAATCATAGCTCACTGCAGCCTCAAACTCCTGGGCTCAAGGGATCCTCCTGCTTTAGCCTCCTGAGTAGCTAGGACTATAGGTGTGCACCAGCATGCTTGGCTAATTTTTAAAATCTTCTTTGTAGAGATAAGATCTTGCTATGTTGCCCAGGCTGGTCTTGAACCCCTGACCTCAAAAGATCCTCCCACCTTCACCTCCAAAGTGTTGGGTTTACAGTTGTGAGCCACCATGCCTGCCCATCACTTTTATTTTTGAAAAATATTTTCACTATTCCAATGTCTTCTCCAGACAAGAAATCTAGTGTCATCCTCATCTTTGTTCCTCTGTATATAAGTTTTTTTTTTGCTGGTTGCTTTCAAGTTTTTCTCTTTATTACTGTTTTTTGTTTGTTTGTTTTGTTTTGAGACGAAGTCTCGCTCTGTCGTCCAGGCTGGAGTGCAGTGGCATGATCTCTGCTCACTGCAAGCTCCGCCTCCCAGGTTCACACCATTCTCCTGCCTCAGCCTCCCAAGTAGCTGGGACTACAGGTGCGCACCACCACGTCCAGCTAATTTTTTGTATTTTCAGTAGAGATGGGGTTTCACCGTGTTAGCCAGGATGGTCTCGATCTCCTGACCTCGTGATCCACCCACCTCGACCTCCCAAAGTGCTGGGATTACAGGCGTGAGCCACTGCGCCTGGCCCGGCCTATTACTGGTGTTAAGCATTGTGATTATGATGTGATTTTCTTCTGGTTTCTTTTGCTTGGGCTTTGTTGAGCTTCCTGCATCTGTGGATTTATTTTTAATTAACTTTGGGAAACTTGGGACCATTATTTCTTCAAGTATTTTTTCTGTTCCTTTTCTTCTCTCTCTTCTCCTTTGGTGATTCCAAATTACACATGTATTACGTTGTTTGAAGCCTTCCTACAAACCATTTATGCTCTTTTCATTTCTAAATTTATATTTTTTCTCCTTGTCTTTCAAATTCACTACCCTTTTCCCCCTAAAATGTTTGATCTGCCCTTAATCCCACTCAGTGTATTTTTCATATTAGGCATCATAATTTTCATCTCTGGAAGTTCTGTGTTCATAATTAACGTACTGAATGTTGTAATCTGGGCACAGTAACTGTCTTAATGTTCTTATCTGCTAATTCTAACACATAAATCAGTTCTGGGAAGTCGTGATTTGATGATTCTTCCCATTATGAGTCATGCTTTCTGGCTTCTTTGTATGCCAGGTGATCTTTGACTGGATGCTAGATCCTGTGAATTTTATCTTGTTGGGTGCTGAATATTTCTGTATTCTATAGGAATTCTTGAACTTTGTTCTAAGATGCAGTTAAGTTACTTGGAAACTACTTGATCCTTTCAGGTCTTGCTTTCACTACTTGTTATGCAGGTCCAAAGCAGGGCTGTCTAGGGGTAATTATTCCGTATTATTAAGACAAGACTTCCCTGAACACTGTACCCAATAGCCCGTGAGTGATGAGTTTTTCCTGTAAGCCGGTGAGAACAGTGTTCCCAGCCCTGTTTGAGTTTCAGGCTGTGTCCAGGCTGTGCGCCCTGTCACCCTTCCATGAGGTTCTTGCCCTGGCCGTGGGTAGTTTCCACATGTGATGCGCTCTTGTGCTCTGGTGACTACTCAGGAGGGCCCTGTACAAATCTCCCCAGTTCTCTCTCTGCACAGCTCTCTCCTCCCTGGAATTCTGTCCTGTGACCTTCAGTGGCCTTGTTCTCTCACCCTCAACCACATCTCCTCAACTCAGGGAGGCTGCTGAGTCTGCCTCAGTGTCCTCTTGTGCTCCACGGCCTGGAACCTTCTCAAGGCAAACGAGGATAATTGTAGGGAGCATCTTGTTTGCTTCTCCTGTCAGGGATTACTGTCCCACATTGTCCTGTGTCTTGAAAACCATTGTTTTACAAAATTTTTCCTGGTTTTATTTGTTGCTGCTGTTTTAGGAAGGAGGGTCAGTCTGGTCCCTGCTTATCGATCTTGGCCAAAAGTGGAACTCCATGCTTTTCGATTTTTTTTTTTTTTTTTTTTTTTTTTTGAGACGGAGTCTCGCTCTGTCGTCCAGGCTGGAGTGCAGTGGTGCAATCTCGGCTCACTGCAAGCTCCGCCTCCCGGGTTCACACCATTCTCCTGCCTCAGCCTCCTGAGTAGCTGGGACTACAGCCGCCCGCCACCTCGCCCGGCTAATTTTTTGTATTTTTAGTAGAGACGGGGTTTCACCATGGTCTCCATCTCCTGACCTCGTGATCTGCCCGCCTCGGCCTCCCAAAGTGCTAGGATTACAGGCGTGAGCCACCGCGCCCAGCCGCTTTTTGATTTTAAGACATTATAAAGTTATGATAATCAAGACAGTGTGGTGCTGGAGAGGGGGCAGACACACAGACGAATTTGAAGGAATAGAAAGTCTAGAAATTGACCCATACAATTACGGCCAATTGATCTTTTAGAAAGGTACAAAGACGATTTGACAAAGAATGGATAATATTTTCAACAATTTTGTTGCAATAATAATGAACCTCAATCCAAACCTCACATTATACAAAAATTAAGTCAAAATGGATCATATATGTAAATATAAAATGAAAACTTAGAAAACTTAAAAAGTGTAGGAGAAAACCTTCATGATCTTAGCTTAGGCAAAGATTTCTTAGATACGATACCAAAAGCATGACCCATAAAAGTAAAACTTAATAGAGCCAGGTGTGGTGGCTCATGTCTGTAATCTCAGCTGGGGCGGGTGGATCACATGAGGTCAGGAGTTCAAGGCCAGCCTGGCCAACACGGTGAAATCCCGTCTCTACTAAAAATACAAAAATTAGCCAGTTGTGGTGGCGGGTGCCTGTAGTCCCAGCTACTTGGGAGGCTGAAGCGGGAGCATTGCTTGAACCAGGGAGGCAGAGGTTGCAGTGAGCCAAGATCGTGCCACTGCACTCCAGCCTGGGCGACAGAGACTCTGTCACAAAGGGAAAAAAAAAAAAAAAAAGTAAAACTTGATAAATATGACTTCACCAAACTGGAAACGTTTTGCTCTGCAAATTAAAACCAAAATGAGATACCATCACATACCTTTGAGAATGACTAGAATTAAGCAAACCCTCAAATAAACTCTATCAATATCAAGTGCTGGATACAAAGTACCTGGAACTCACATCCATTGCTGGTGGGAGTGTAAACACGGTGCAGCCACTCTGGGTAAGTTTAGCAGCTTCTTACAGAGTCAAACTTGTGCTTATAGATGACTAGGGAGTCCCACTCTTAGGTGTTTCTGAGAGAAATGAAAACATATATTCACACAAAAATCTTACACAAATATTTACAGCAGCTCAATTCATAATTGCCAAAAAATCAGAAATAACACAAACAAGTGAAGGATAAATAAACTGTGGTTCATTCATAACGTGAAAGACTACTCAGCAATAAGAACAATGAGTTATTGATGCATGCGGTAACATGCATGAATGTCAGAGGCCCTCTGCTGGAGTCAGACTCAATAAGAAGTTATAGGACATACCCAAAAAGATAAATCTATCAGTGGTAACCAGGAGTTAAGTATAGGGGTTGAGTTTTCCTTTTATTTTTTTTGAGACAGAGTCTCACTCCATCGCCCAGGCTAGGGTGCAATGGCACCATCTCGTCTGACTACAACCTCCATCTCCCAGGTTCAAGTGATTCTCATGCCTCTGCCTCCCGAGTAGCTCAGGCTGAAGGCACATGCCACCATGCCCAGCTGAATTTTTGTATTTTTAGTAGACATGGGTTTTACCATGTTGGCCAGGCTGGTCTCAAACTCCTGACTTCAGGTGATCCATCCGCCTCAGCCTCCCAAAGTGCTGGGATTATAGGTGTGAATCACCTCACCCTGTCAAGCGGCTGGGTTTTCTACAAAGGGGTGGCATGAGGGAGTTTCGGGGGGTGGCTAAACTATTTTTTTTTTTGAGATGGAGTCTCGCTCTGTCATCAGACTGGAGTGCAGTGGCGCAATCTCGGCTCACTACAACCTCCGCCTCCCGGGTTCAAGCGATTATCCTGCCTCAGCCTCCTGAGTAGCTGGGACTACAGGTGTGTACTACCACACCTGGCTACTTTTGTTTGTTTTTTGGGACGGAGTCTCGCTCTGTCGCCCAGGCTGGAGTGCAGTGGCACGATCTCAGCTCACTGCAAGCTCCGCCTCCCGGGTTCACACCATTCTCCTGCCTCAGCCTCCCGAGTAGCTGGGACTACAGGCCCCGCCACCATGCCCGGCTAATTTTTTTGTATTTTCAGTAGAGACGGGGTTTCACCGTGTTAGCCAGGATGGTCTCGATCTCCTGACCTCGTGATCTGCCCGCCTCGGCCTCCCAAAGTGCTGGGACTACAGGCGTGAGCCACCGCGCCCGGCCAATATTTTGTATTCTAGTTGTGATTGTGGCCAGCCTTCTCCGAGGCTAGATGCTGGACACTCTTCTCCAGTTACATAGCCATTCCATAAGTCCTTATTTGGCTCCTGTAATGTGCACAACACTGGGCAGGACACAACACTGGGGAATAAGTCAAACCTGGACGTTGCCAGCTGTGGAGCTCCAGATGTTCCAAATGTGAGCAAGTGGCAAGGCAGGGCACGAGCCCCACAGTCCTCAAGCCAGATGCTCAAAAGCCATGACTCCACGGTCTCCGGCCCAAGATCTGTGCTGCAGAATCCTTGCTGAGCCACTCTCGGTTAGTCCTGTCCAGTTTTATGATTTCTCAACTATGTTGTGTTTAGAAATCAGTCCTGTCACAGTTCTTCTCCCAGGGTGGTGTCTGAGTTCCAGGCGCTCAGAGGTGAGAGGGGCTGGGGAGGGACCCGGATGGAAGGCTCGCGCTGCAGCAGCTCCGCAGGGCCCGGATGGAGGGCTCGCGCTGCAGCAGCTCCCGTAGGGCCCGGATGGAAGGCGCGCGCTGCAGCAGCTCCGCAGGGCCCGGATGGAGGGCTCGCGCTGCAGCAGCTCCCGTAGGGCCCGGATGGAAGGCGCGCGCTGCAGCAGCTCCGCAGGGCCCGGATGGCGGGCTCGCGCTGCAGCAGCTCCGCAGGGCCCGGATGGAAGGGCCCGGATGGCGGGCTCGCGCTGCAGCAGCTCCGCAGGGCCCGGATGGAAGGGCCCGGATGGCGGGCTCGCGCTGCAGCAGCTCCGCAGGGCCCGGATGGAAGGGCCCGGATGGAGGGCTCGCGCTGCAGCAGCTCCGCAGGGCCCGGATGGCGGGCTCGCGCTGCAGCAGCTCCGCAGGGCCCGGATGGCGGGCTCGCGCTGCAGCAGCTCCGCAGGGCCCGGATGGAAGGGCCCGGATGGAGGGCTCGCGCTGCAGCAGCTCCGCAGGGCCCGGATGGAGGGCTCGCGCTGCAGCAGCTCCGCAGGGCCCGGATGGAAGGGCCCGGATGGCGGGCTCGCGCTGCAGCAGCTCCGCAGGGCCCGGATGGAAGGGCCCGGATGGCGGGCTCGCGCTGCAGTAGCTCCGCAGGGCCCGGATGGAGGGCTCGCGCTGCAGCAGCTCTGTAGGTGGCTCCCCAGCCTTGGTGCCTCCTGCAGCTGCTGGGATGCCCACACTCCCACCGTCCCGGCCACATCCCACCTCACTGCGCCTCGGGGGTTCCTTCAGCCTGCTTGCCCCGTCTCCCTCATGAGCTCTGGGTGGCAGCCCATGTGTCTCTCTAGAGGCTGCACTCAGGTCCACCCTCCTTGGATGGGCCCGGGGAATTGCTGCACTTTAGCCTGTGGTGCTAGACCTGGTCTTCCTAGTGGAGTCCTGGCTCCTGGGGCTACCTGGGAAGATACTCTCTATTCTGGGTCCCTTGAGCCTTTCTGGATCCTGGCCCTGCCTCACCCTCAAGAGGTGGGAGGAGTTAGTTGAAAGCAGGGTCCTTTCTCAGCGGCTCAGACAGGCTCGTCTCAGCTGTACTTGCCCAGCCCTGGGAGGCCCCACACCTGCCCGGGGAACCTGGCTGTCCCAGCATCGTGCCAACCAAAAGCTCACTCTCTCCTTTGGAATTCAACACACCCTGTCTCTTGTACCTAAAAGCTTCTCCTGTAAGAGCGATGGATGATCCAAGCCATGGATCTCTAAGGCCTCCCGGCAAGCACCCAGCTCTGCTCTGTGCCTTCCTCCAGGCGTTTCTCCAGGAAGCACCTTCCTCCAAGGGACGTGAGGATAGAAAGCTTCCTGGACAGGGGATAGGCAGGGAGCAGGAAGTACAGAGAAAGAGATCCACTATTCTGCCAAAGTGGCTTGGGTGTGGGTTTGAATAACACCTTCCCTACTTCCTACCTGTGTGGTCCTGGCAGCTTTCTCTTTTCTTTTCCTTCTCTTTTCTTTTCTTTCTTTTCTCTTCTCTTTTCTTTTCCCCTTCCTTCCTTCCTTCCTTCCTTCCTTCCTTCCTTCCTTCCTTCCTTCCTTCCTTCCTTCCCTCCCTCCCTCCTTTCTTTCCTTTCCTTTCCTTTCCTTTCCTTTCCTTTCCTTTCCCTTCCTTCCTTCCTTCCTTCCTTCCTTCCTTCCTTCCTTCCTTCCTTCCTTCCTTCCTTCCTTCCTTCCTTCCTTCTCTTTCTGTCTGTCTGTCTGTCTGTCTTTCTTGACAGAGTCTCACTCTGTTGCCCACATGGAGTACAGTGCTGTGATCTCGGCTCGCCACAACCTCCGCCTCCCAGATTCAAGCAATTCTTCTGCCTCAGCCTCCCGAGTAGCTGGGACTACAGGCACACGCCACCACGCCTGGCTAATTTTTGTATTTTTAGTAGAGATGGGGTTTCACCATGTTGGCCAGGCTGGTCTCGAACTCCTGACCTCGTGATCAGCCCACCTCGGCCTCCCGAAGTGCTGGGATTACAGGCATGAGCCACCGTGCCCGGCCAAATCCTGGCAGCTTTCTAACCCTCAGCCACTGTTCCCCAGACCGTTGATGGAGAATGCAGGCAGGGCTGGCTCCAGGGCTGCTGGGAGGAGCCAGGGAGAATGTGGGTGACATGCTTAGCACAGGGTGGCACCAGGAGGGGCATGTTACATTGGCAGTCTCAAGTGGTGAGGCCCCATGGGGTGACACACAGCACAGCAAGCACTGGGGAAGTCAGTATGGTGGGGAAATCAGGACAGTGGAAGAGGTGGTGTGGTGGGGAAGGCAGCATGGTGGGGAAATCAGGACTCTGCCAGTTTCCCCCATGTGGTGAGCCTGAGCCCGAGCCTGAGCCTGAGCGAGCTTGTTTTAGACTGGGAGCAGGTGGTGTGGCCGTAACCCTAGGAGCTGCGACACCCGTGATGGGGAGCGTGGTTCTTCCCTCTTGGTGGCCAGGGCCAGACACTGCTCCGGACTCCTAGGTCACCTGAATGCCCCATCTTGCCTCAAACCAGCCCTCTCCGTGGTCCCCCAGTCCCTGTCTTGGCACGCCTGGAAAGCTAGCAGATGAGCTCTTGGACATCATCAGGCCCGTCTGCCATGAGAGGTGGCAGCCTGGGGCCGTGAGGCCATTCCAGGTGCAGCAGAGAAGAAGGACTCCACACCAGAGGGAATGCCCAGGTCTACAACCCACGGGGTCAGAGACCCTTCCATGGAGCCAGGTGACCTTGCCCTGCCCCCAGCATGAGCCTCAGTTTCTTAATCTGTAATACAGAAATAGCAACACATAAGTCATAGGGTCACTGTGCAGATCAAAAGAGATTAGGCGAGCAGATGCCTGCAGCATCATCAGCATCGTTATTGCCCCTGCCCTGATCATGGCGATGACAACAGGATGACAATCATGATGAAGATGATGATGATGGTGGTGATGATGTCACTGAAGTCAATGATGACAAAGGGATTTGATGCGCTGGGGTTGAGCCATAGGGATCCCACCTCCTTACATATGGTTGCCCTGATGGGTACCCCAGGCAGCACAGCCTTGGGACTCTCTGGGGAAAGGGAGGCAAGCAGCCCCCATTGTCTGCTGGAACTGAGCTGCGTGACCAGCTGGGGCCCCATGACCAGGATGGCCTGGGCTCCCTCCTTGGGCTTGTCCAGAGCACCACCAGTCCTGCGTCTGAGCGCCGGAGCACCGCCAGTGCTGTGTCTGAGCACCGATGTGGGGAGGAGGGACTGGGCAGATCATGGGGGCCAGTGGGAGGACCTCTGGCTCTGCATTAGGCAGTCTGGATCAGATCCCTAAAATGACAGGAAACTAATTAAAAAATTTTTTTGTACAATATGTTCATTGACACATTTATAGAGACATTATTTTAAATTAGAATTCTCTACACTTTACTAGATATATTTATATATAAGCGAATAGAAAGGGTGTGCGTGTGGCCTGGATCTGTCTTGAGGCCCCTCCCTCACCTATGCAGTCCTGGAAAGGATCTGAAGCAGCTGCTCACCTGTCCCACCTGGGCTGTGGGGCAGGGCCCCTGCACAGCTACGGGTCCTGGCTGAGCCACTCGCGGTCCATGGAGGCATTGTACCGAGGTAGGCTATTGTTCCTCAAAGACTCCTGGCTCCTGCTCTTATTTTTTCTCTCCCTCCTCCCTCTTCTCCCTCCTGCTCCAGGCATCTATTTCTTTCCTTTTTTTTTTTTTTTTTTTCTGAGAGAGTCTCGCTCTGTCGCCAGGCTGGAGTGCAGTGGTGCCATCTCGGCTCACTGTAAACTCTGCCTCCCAGGTTCCCGCCATTCTCCTGCCTCAGCCTCCCGAGTAGCTGGGACTACAGGCACCTGCCACCAGGCCCGGCTAATTTTTTTTATTTTTAGTAGAGATGGGGTTTGACTGTGTTAGCCAGGATGGTCTCGATCTCCTGACCTCGTGATCCGCCTGCCTCGGCTTCCCAAAGTGCTGGGATTACAGGCATGGGCACCGTGCACGGTCAATTTTGGTATTTTTAGTAGAGACGGGGTTTCACCATGTTAGCCAGGCTGGTCTCGAACTCCTGAGCTCATGATCCACCCGCCTCAGCCTCCCAAAGTGCCGGGATTACAGGTATGAGCCACCGTGCCCGGCCCTTCCAGGCATCTATTTCTAACCTCGTGCTGTATAACCTTCCCTACCTTGCTCTCCACATTCATTAACCATTCACACGCGCATGGAGTTCTTGTTGGTTTTGTTTTGGGGTATTCTGGTTACTTCTCTGCATCCTGGTTAGAAGTTCACTGTGGAATTCCTCCCAGTGAGTTTGTTCGCATTTAGTCCCTTCTTCCAGGCTGCCTAGTCTTCCATGACATGGCCGTCCCACAAATTACTTGGTTATCCCCTATTGAGGCAATCTCTTTTCTCCATGATTTTCCCACCTCTTGTGTTGCATTAATGGATGGGTGGGGACCTGGGGGTGCTGGAGGGAGCAGGTAGAGTCGTTGGAGAAGTGGCTGTTGATGGCAGTCATGTGTCCAGCAACTTCCATGTGCCCCTCTGTGTTGTTCAATTGTGCACCTCGTGGGTCATCTAGGATGAGCCCAGACCAGGACGCAGCCGAACTGCTGAGTCAGTAGCCCTGACCCCGTGCACTGACTTGTGTGGGTTCCTGTCTTATTATTTTTTTTTTTTTGGAGACAGAGTCTCGCTCTGTCGCCCAGGCTGGAGTGCAGTAGCGTGATCTCGGTTCACTGCAACTTCCACCTACCGGGTTCACACCATTCTCCTGTTTCAGCCTTCCGAGTAGCTGGGACTACAGGCTAATTTTTTTTTTTTTTTTTGTATTTTAGTAGAGACAGGGTTTCACCATGTTGCCCAGGCTGGTCTCAAACTCCTGAGCTCAGGCAATCCATCTGCCTCAGACTCCCAAAGTGCTAGGATTACAGGTGTGAGCCACCGTGCCCAGCCCTTATTTGCATTTTTTTTTTTTTTTTGTGGTTGCTGTGAGGGTAGATGCTTGGAGTGGGAGGATAGAAATGAAGGGGGTGGAGGATGCAGGGGTGCAGGGAACCCCACTTGGGGCTGGTTTCTGGGTCCCTGTGGGGAGAGGCAGAGGCCGAGCCACTGTCTACAAAACATGCTCTGGGTAAAGTGCGTGCTTCCCATGTTTCAGGTACCTAGTGAAGGCACCGGA